CATATCTGAAAATCCCAATCAAATCCTAAAAAAGGAAACAGGATATATCAGTATCAGAAAAATCCAATCAGGGTATCAGAAATTCGATCAAGCAAGAGTGAATCTGAAAAGTGTTCAAGCCATATCAAAAATCACAGCAAATCAGATCGAAAAGTAACGCAAATCCAACAACATCCAAGGCCCAAAAAAAGAGAAGTTATAAAGGGACGATCTCACCTCAGAGAAAACCCTAACGAAGATCGCGAAAGCCCTAGAGACGGAACGGCGAAACCACCATCACGAGCGAACCCTAACGGACAAAATCGCGAACAAACCCTAGGCGGCGCAAAAAGGAGAACGGCCGAGACTCAGAGGAACCGATATCCTCATCATCGTCTTCGTAAGAAAGAGGAACGAAGATCATCGACGGCGAACAACAAACATCACCGCACATCAATATCATCTGAACCACAGACAGCCGCGAATCACAGACGAGAAGATCGCCTTCGCCGTCGGCGGGCAATCAACTCTAAGCCTCAGCACTGCATCATCGGCCGTTTTCACCATAAATGTGAGCTATGAGACATTTTCCTCACAATATTCATGTTTTATTTCAGGTTAATGAGAGGAATGAAAAAGATCGGAAGAGAATCGCGGCGAGAGAGAAGAAGAATGAAGTGTAAACGGCGCCGCGAACGACATTAGGGTTCTGAAGCCCTCAAAGACATTTTGCCTCTTATGACTCCCAAACCGGGTTGGGACCGGGGTGATGACCGGCCCAACCCCTTTATTTTTTTGTTTTTTTTGTTTTTTTTTTAAATTTGTTTTTTTACCCTTGTATTTTGTCTTAAGTTGTTTTTTATCATTTTATTTTATAATCAAAAACTAATTTTTGAAAATAAATAAAACAAATAAATTTAAAAACTTTCCTTTTTAAAAATTAGAAAACCTCTTTTCACTTAATAATAATAAAAAACTTTCTTTCAATAAATAACTAACAAAAAAAATCTTTTTTTAAAAAATATCTAAGTTAAAATCTTTTTCAAGATTAAATTTAATATTTTCTATTAACATTACTTTTTTATATATAGATTCGTTTAACATTTCTTTCAAGATAACAAAAAATCTTCAATATTACACTTTTTCTTATGACTTGTCCCATTACCGTCTAATTTTGCTTATTGACAGTGTTCATCGTTTGCAGCTCTTACTGCATGGTTGGTTTATTTAAATTTCATTACTATATTGTAACTGCTTCTCATATGTAACCCCGCGAATCTAATAATCGCGCTTTAAATTTCTGCCTTTAAATTTCTGTTTGTATGGCTTTAACTTCTGTCGTTATTCTCTGTTTGCAATTCAATCATCTCACGCATTTATCAATATTCCAGTCACACTACACACATCCGAAGGCTAGGTCTAACCGTTTGGTCGCCGCGCCAATAGCCCTCAACTTCAAACCTCACAAACCCTAATTTTCACAAATGCCTCGCCGCAGGCAAAATTACAATTTTACCCCTAGCATTAGGTCAAAGAGCCGCCGCGCTCATTTTAGGGTTTCCCGCCGTGGAATCCCTAACCTAATTTAACCCTAATTACAACTAACAATTCAACGTAGAGATTTGGAGTTTCTACACTCCATGTAAGCGTATCCCTAAGATGCGTTTATTCCCCTTGAGACCTTGACCACAGTCAAGAAGTCTCTAACCTCCCTTTTGAGGGGAACTACGATTACTCTGATTCCACTCCCGTAAGGATACGTAGGCACAAGATGCGATGTCTTGCCGAGTAAACTTAGAATTAACCCCTTAGGTCTCTTTCCTCACTTTTAATCTTTTGTACATATACCTTAAGCAAATAAATAAAACAAATAGTAAACATTTGAACAAAAGGTTCCTGTAGAGTACTACAGAAGTTTAGGGTGTTAATACCTTCCCTAAATTTAACCAACCCCCGAACCCTAGATCTTTCCCCGCATTGTGTTTACGATGCAAAATAGGTTTTCCCTCTTTTGACCTTTTCCTTCGGATAAATCAAAGAGCGGTTGTGAATTGAATTGCGATTCAAATTAATTAATAATTTGATATCCTATTTCCAGCCAGGGGCGGTGCCCTGCCGGTCCTGGAGATGAGCTTCTGGAATCTTCTACATACCATGTCCTCCGTGGGGGAGGAGAGAGGCTGGTGGAAGCCGGACGACGGTGTCTCTACGGGGGAGGAGAAGAACTGGGAGAAACCGGGCGATGGTGTCTCCGCAGAGGAGAGCGCGACGGTTATTCCCTCTCGAGCATCCCTATCCGTTCGTTTTACCCGAAGATCATCAAGTTGGTTTGATTGATTGCCGCGAACAGAGCCGTGACGGTATGATCGACGCCAGTTGAAACTGGAATGGGCTGGTAGAGAACCAGACTGTCAAAGCGTTGGATGGCGTTGAAGGCCGCGTATTTAGAGGATGGGGAGGCGATGCGTCTGTCCTTCTGGTAATATTCTTCATTATGGGTGGTTGCCTTTGGGGTCGCGGCCGTCCCCGTTGGAAAAGGGGGTAAAGGCAGATCCCGACGCATTGTCGTTACGTGGGATGACCATGATTGAGATGAAAGTGTTGGAAGTTGTTATGGTCCCTAGGTTGCTATGTTGAGATAGGAGAATGGACGGGGAAGCAAAAGATTCTCACTGACGGTGCCACTGATCTCACCTGAACAAAAAGAATCAATAGTCTTCCACGCATCGTTGGATTGTTGTTTTCACCGGAGTTGTGGAGAGAAAGGGGGTGTACCTGTAAGGCACTCTGATGCTTAAGTGAGTAATGATCAGAGAGAAAACAAGCACAGAGATTAGGTATGAAAAAGAAGTTACCTGACCCTCTAATGGAAGAGGATATTTATAGTGTACCCCCAGTGCAAGGTCAACGGTTACATTGTGTTGGGCCAGACTGTCAGGCCCAACCCAAGCAACTGTCAGGGCTTACGTGGCATAGTGAATACCAGCACGTGGTCTTCGCCCTAGATCAACTGTCCCGTGATCATCGGAAGGTGGGTTGACCGACTCTTTCGGAGGTGGTTAGTTGTCTGATGACGTGTCCCCGCGTGGGGGACACGTGGAGAACGTGGGAGAAGTGCATGAGTTTTCCCGTCAGGAAGGTCTTCTGCTCAACGCATGTGTCTGGTTGAAGCCTGTGCCCGACGGAGGAGGATTGAGCCTTGTTGGGCCTCATCAGCACAGCATTGGGTTGGGTCTGTCCGACTGAGGGGCAGATCCCAACCCAGTCCAGAACATGAGGTTTTTCGTAATGGACTATAAACTAAAGTGATTCACAAATGAACAAGAATTGCTTGAGAATGAATGACATGTTATTTGTATAAAGCCTAAAAAGAATGAATGACAATGCTATGTTATTAACTTCTACAAAATCCCAATTATGTCCTCCCTTTTATTTTAAATCACCAATTGACCATTTCTCTTAATCATGAATTAACTCGTTAATCAATTTTCTTAAACTCTTCATAAATCTTAATTCATCTGCAAGTACAACTAACACATGATGGAATGACTAAAGTTCCCCCATAATAGTGCGGTTATGTAATTTCCATCGGTAATTCTTTTAAGAAAAAAAGCTAGGATTACACCAAAAAGTTACAACTACACCTACACCGTAGTTATATACGGTTTGACATACCTTTGTTTTTTTAATAATATTTTTTCTTTCCTTGGTTTTTGTGTCATAGTAAAATTGATTTGCAATAGCTACGGTGTCAATACAGTGTAGAGAATTTAAGTGTCAACATAGCATATCTGTTCTTTTAATTCAAATTAGTTCTTTGTTAATAATTAAGATTTAAGTGAATAACTATCATTTTTTAAAACCTAATTTGTGTTAACTTGACTTGAAGTTCCATAAACATTTTGTGAAAACACTAAATTTTTTTTGGATAAAATGTCTATTTTACCCTCTATTTTTCTCTCACACACACATTTCCAACTATGGAATATGAACAAACTGAATCCTTATTTTAATTTTTTCCAATCTTATATTTATACAAGCCCCGTGTGAAAATGACAATATTTTCTTCATTAACTTTTACAAAATCCTAATTATGTCCTCCCTTTTATTTTAAATCACCAATTGACCATTTCTCCTAATCATGGATTAAGTAATTAATCAATTTTCTTAAACTCTTCATAAATCTTAATTCAATATGCAAAGACCTAATAACTGTTTCTTAAGTTAGGTCAAAATCCGACTTAAAAAATCAAAATTTCTTATGTTAACAATCTTATCTTAGACTCGTAACCGACTTAACAAGTTTTTTTTATCCTGACTTAACAACAATGTTTGTTTACTAGTGAGTTGTCTCTACAAGACCACCAACAGATCTATGATGAGGTTAGTGGTTTCAATGTGGTAAGTGAAATCCCATTCATTCCCATATCTGAAAAAGGGTGCATCACTAGCAGGCTAAGGAACCCTTCCTCATCATGGTTGGACAAGATGTTTCGAGAGTAGGACGACACGATCATGCAGTCCTATTATTGAGGGTGCTCCTTAAAATCTTGCTTGCAGAGGTGCGTCACTTCCAAGTTTCCCGTCTAAATACATTTAGTGTTATCTTATTGCAGGTTAACTATTTTAAATTAATTTATGTTAGTTAAAAGTAAATTGAATATAAAATAATTTGTTTTAATTTAATAACTTGAATAATAAATTTACATAAGATTTAAGTTTTCAAGCAAAAATATCATATCTGAACTTTAGTTATTAATAAAATACTGGCATGAATATATAATCACTAACCATTAAATTAAAAAACATGAAAATGTCCCACACTATTTTATTATGGAACATGATATTTTGTTCTATAGAAGAACAATACGACACATACATGTTACAAGAAAATACCATATCATGATATTCTTATTGCATAAAAGACTCTAACTGAACAAGCATGTTTTGCTCTTCATATTTTCTATAGTAATGTAGAACTTCATATTATAACATGATTAGTTCATCATATTTTCAACCATTTAGTTAACTTGGCGGCAATTCGTACGAATCTGACCGTTATTTCCAGTTAAAGGGCTGAGATTTCCCATTTTCACCATAGCAGTAGCAAAATCTGTATAGAAAGATGAGAAGCTTGTGCTATAGGTAGTGACTTGAGAGTCAGTAGAGCCACCACTGAAGAGTTGTTGATCAGAATGTAAAAGTCCTTTTTTGTTAACTAGATTCTTGAAATAAGCGTTGTCAAATAACACATTGGTTGTGACATCTAGTGGAGTTAGGTTGCTATCACCACCTGTGCTTGGACAGTTTGATTGCACTGAGGTTGCAAAATTTGAGTCAATGATTGTTTCGTTGTAAATTCGGCCTCTGAATAACTGACACCTGGCTTGTCCAGTTGTATGTGCACCTGTGCATACAATATAAATTTTATGAACATGGAAAAAATTGAACGTGATCATAATCATGGGCAAGGTTTTAAAATAACTCTCGCGGTCTCATAAAGACTTTTACGATTTTAGTCGGTATAGATTTTGCGATACTGATTTTAGTCGGTATAGAAAAAATGATGAATAATGATATCGGTATCGGCATCTTTAAGAAATATGAAGTTACCTGAAAGAACTACCATCTCTTTGGTGGTAAATCCCTTATTTGAAAAAGCAGTTATGAGGGCACTGAGATCCATTAGAGGGGATGGAATATCACTAGTGGCAGTATCTTTACTAGCAGTTGTTGAATCTCTTCTGCCTAACCCAACACTCCATGTTGGACCACCCAACTAAGATAATTGAAGACACAAAAAATATATATATTAACTAAAGTAAGCTTTAAATTAATTAATCACATAAAAAATTTTGAAGTTTGAGTTTTATGACATAAAATTCAAATTGTCAACCTACAAGTGGTACAGGTATAAATTCAATTATGTAAGTTTTTTTTTCTTCTAAATTTTGCATTTTTTTAGAATCATTATGCAGCTATATTTTGTATTTTTTTTCTTAAAACTCATTATCCAACTATATTTGGCATATTAAAATAATATTTTTTATTTAAAAACATTTTTAAACTTAATACATATATGGAATTATTCACAGTATTTTTCTTTTAATTTATCTCGGAGTCTAGGGTTTTAGGGTTTAAGATTTTGAATAAAAACACAGCCCTGAATATTATGACGGAAGTTGATGCATGTATATAATATATTTTCTTCAAGTTTTTATGCGATTATTAAAACTTACTGCTACGACAGAATCGCGAGCAGAAGCAGCAACAATATCTGCACAAGAAACAATTCCAGGACAAGCAGTCTCCAACTGTGTTTTAATGTTGTCAATCACATCAAAACCTCTCAGCGAATTCACGTTTGCGCCCGCCGACTTCTCACCGGTGAAGCTCGAAGTGTCATCCAACAGGACTGATGCATCACATCCCTACCAGTTATAAAACCATCATAATAAAGACTATATTTTCTCAGCAATACTGCAATTGCGGCCGCATGCATTTTCTAACCGCAATATCAAATCATGATCATATGGTAAATATTAAATTTTATGTAAGTCACAATCACATGCATTTTCATGCAAGAAGAAATAAGAACGTACATTGACAAAGCAATCGTGAAAATGAAGACGGAGTAACGAAGCGCCCATGCGATGCTCTTTCGCAACAGCGCTACACACTGCAGAGTTTATGATAGAGAGAGCTTTGGGACATGTTGTTGCATAGAAATCTGGAGATAGTTGAGCAGAGGCATTTGCCAAGAAGGAAAGCAAAATAAAGATAGAAAATATGTTATTATGTGATTGGAAAACCATTTTATTTTCAAGTTAGAGAACAAGAATAAGCACTACTGAGAAATTAAATCAAGTTTTGCTCACACGTGATTCTGTGAATAAGGAATGTTTCTTGAGATGAATTTATAGGGTGGTGTTTGATTTTGGATATTATTAACTAATTTGGTCAAATCAGTAGAAAAACAGACTGTGGTGCAAAGTGCAAACTCTACGTATGCATTATTGGGTTTCAACCAAACTTCCCCTTTCTGTCGATTATTATTGACTATTCATAATTGGTTGGCAATGGCAATGGCACTGGCTTATTTTGAATTGCGCATTTATATTAAAGGTATAGGAAAATAAAAATGACCAAATGCTAACGAGTGACCAAGTGCAATGCTAATATTGTGAAAACATTTTTAATTTTGTTTTTAGAAATTTGTTTTTCTTTAATGGCAACCTATAATATATAAATAATGATAAAGACTTATATTGGATTGAGAAAAGCGCCAAACGCTTAAACAACCCTTAAAAAGTAAGGGTTATTTCAATGTAGTACTATTAAAGGTTAAGAGTATTCCTTTTATTTGAAGTTGGTTTTTCAATGGATTCTCTTTGAACTCTTGTGCTTATTTCTTTCTTTTTTATCGTCTTTAAAATCCTATTATGCGTCTGAATTAATAGCAGATCAAGAATTTTGGTATGTTCGGCTGGTCTTAGTGGTTTTAGGCGTTGAGTGTGAGTTTGGATCGTTGCTTGTAGGTCTGGTGTTTGAGATCTAGCTTGAGAGCAGTGTTCTATTGTGTGGGTGGTTCCCAGGCGTTTGTACCTTTCCCATATGTTAATCTTTGGTTTTTTTTCGTATTGTTTACTTATTCTTTAACTGTTTAGTGTTTGGATTTGCTTGATTTGTAACTGGTGTTTCTACTATATGGGTTGTTTGCCTTTGTTGATTAATATTATTTTGCCATTAAAAAGGTACTTTCAAACCCTATAAAAATCTAAAAATGTCCTTTATTATTGTTTGAATTTTGACATTTGGACGCACGGTACCACGATACAACAAATCAACAAATCTCTCTATCAAAAATGCACCCCATCCATTTAGTCTGGATTTTGAAATTCGGGTGCACCTTTATAGAGGACATCCCTCTTATAGACTTGAAATCTAAACTATAGAATCACCTACACTACATCGACAATTGAAAAGTGGGTGAGTATCATTCATAAACAATTGATAATGAATGGAAGATTAAGTTCAGCAAATTTGAGCTGAAGGCAAATGCAGATGTAAGAGTTATGTGGAGTATATTTCATTGTTATGCAACTGAGGGTCTAGTCGAGGTGGATGTGACACTTGCAAGAATAACCATGACTACATAATACACATTTTACAACGGTAAGGAGAAGGATTCCATCATAGATGGTGTCCCGTGGTTAAGAAGGGTGTGGTTGTATGTGCCCTCTTTACCACCACGGGCTACTAGTCGTGGTAAAAATGCAAAAGCATGTAACATGCCACTCACAGTTGCATAAAGCAACTGAAGTGAAAGGTTAAGGTCAGAGATTCGATACTCAGCGCCTGTATTTTTGAAATTTTCAAGACATTTCACCACAGTCCTAGATTCTAACTATGGTGAAAAATTTAGCGCACAACATATCACCACGGCCCTAGATTCTAACTGTGCTTATTTCACCAACTATTTAGCGGATAACATTTGACCACGGTCCTATATTTTAACTGTGTCGATATGCTTACTTGAGTTCATTATAACTTATGTAGAATACTTATTTCACCAATTGCTCACTAAACATATAAGTTTTCAATATGATTTAAAAGTCAATAATTTAAAAAATTAAGTTATATTAGAAGAACAAGTTACGGTAATCAATATTGTACAAGTTTCATACAACCCATTATTCATATTTTGCTCTTTAACGATTATAACTTGTTTCAATGCTTCTAATTCTTCTGCTAACACTTACTTCAACTCTAGTTTATTTTTCAAAATATTATTTACTTTGTAGACAAAATTAGAGGTGAAGGAAGTGATAACTAAAGAACTAGTAACATTGATTCAAGTTCTAACCGTTAAAGAGGAATATACGAATAATATACTACAAAAAGCACGTAAAACATTGATAAATGTAAGTTGTTTTATAATATAACTTAATATCTCTTTATTATAATTATCTAATTCCATTTGAAAGGTTATATATATTCAGTAAGAGTTGAAAAAGCATTCAAACCACATACGATATAATAAACTCATCTTCTATGACATGTTGACTGAACGTAATAAAAGTTGCAATGTATAAGGTATATCATTAAAAATAACAAAAATATCAACAATAAGACAAGCATTTACAACATACCCAAACAAAAACATCAACAATACAACATACACAATAACTTACCTTAAACAACAACATACCTTAACAACAACATCCAACTTTTATCAATAAAAACAAAACCATCATCAACATACAATTTTTAGAAACAACAACATATAACTTTTATCAACAAAAGCAAAATCATCAAAATCATACATCTTTATTAACAACAACATACATTAAGAACAACATACAACTTTTATCAACAAAAACAAAATCATCAACATACAACTTTTATCAACAACAACATACCTTAAGAACAACATACAACTTAATTTTATCAACAAAAACAAAATCATCAAAAATATACAACTTTTATCAACAACAACATACAACTTTTATCATATATGAGCTAGAAAATTATCAATATACCTAAATAATAACATAAACAACAACCTATATGAGCGAAACAAAAATAACAATATACATAAACAATAACATTTACAATAAAACAAACAACAACAAACAATTTATACAAAAATGACAGCATACAACATAGCGCAACAAAAAAATTAACATATCCAAAAAATATATATAATAAATATCACAACTCATAACATAAAAGGTGGAAACCTCTCACTTGCTTGAAATGTGAAGAGGAAGTTAAAGAAATGTCTTTTGTGTAACACTTTTTCTTGATCCATAAGAGTTGAAGAAGATATGTTGGATTTTTAAGAAGAAATGATATGCAACCATTCATGGAGATTAAGATAAGGCATGAAAGAGATGTTAGGGTTTTATTTTATGAGAGAGATAATCGTTTTGTCATGAAGGAGAGAACTTTCACACATATATAGGTTATACTTTTCATCACGGTTGATAAAAATAATTGTGATTAAATGTAGGTAAATTTTACAACGATTTCTATTTTAGAACGCGATGAAAGGTATTTTAATTTTAATATAAATATAAGATTATAAGTGAAATGCCCATTTTGAACAAAAAAAAAAGAAAATTGGTAGTGCAGGGATTCAAAGTCTGTCACTCCAGATATTTTTTACCACGGTTGTTAGGTTTAACCGTGGTGAAATTTCTTTTAGTATATAACAAAAAAAAACACTTAAAATAAGTTGTTACTATGATTAACTAAATGGCCGTAGTAAGATGATGTTACAAAATATATATTTTGTAGTAGTGAATCATGCATATTCTAAAGATGGTGAAGCATCTGTTAGTGATGAAATTTCATGTTAGATTTAGGTTAACAAATATCTATGTTATCTTGTATTATGTGTATGCAATAACAAAAATTTATGTTAAGTTATGTTATTTTAGATTCTGTGTATAATATTATTGGTGTGTTTTGTGTATGTGATAATAAGGATGAATCCAAATTTCAATATCCGGACAAACCTCTAGAACAATTTTCTTGTGTGTCTTAAGTGTGTGATAATCGGGGTGAATCTGAATTTCAATATCTAATAAAACCCTTAGAGCAAATTGCTTGTGTGTTTTGTGTATTTAATAAATTTATTGTATGGTGGGTCCATGTGATAGCAAAGAATGAATATGGATTTCCATATACGGATAAGCACATATAACAAATTGCTTGTGTGTTCAATCTATGTGATACCAAAAGGTGGATCTGGATTTCAATATGTGAACACACCCCTAGGACAAATTGTGTGTGTTTAGTTCATGTGATAGAAAAGGGTGAATCCGAATTTCAATATTCAAACATATTTTTCACTTGTTTTTGGCGTGGTTATGGTGTGTCCGAATTCTAATTTTCAGGTTCTATGGTTATTTTTGAAAATTTTCCAGGGTGGATGAGTAATGTATGTGGTACAATAAACAATAAAAAAAACTACAAAGAATTAAAAAAGATAAGATAACAAAGGAGAAAAAATAAAAACGAATGATTAAAAAAACCAGCAAAAACAGCAACATCAACAATATAAAAACCACCATAGAACCTTCCACTAAAGCCGCAAGTGTGATTTGAAAATTCAAACCCTCAAAGCAACTAACATCTCAAGGATAGGACGGGGCCCGTCAAGCACCCGAAAAAGGTGCAATAAACAGAGACAGTCATAATAAGATATAATTTTTCCATACCAAAAGGAAACTCTATACACTAATTCTTCAAATGTAAATGATGTCTCTCTTGAAAAAATTACATTGTTTACGGATTCCACATAACCCCACTATAGAATTTCAGACTAAGACCAAACCAATTGTGTAACTCTAGCCTTAATCCCCATAGACTTAATTAATTAAAATAAATAACTATAAATATCTAAGTAAACTCAACTCCCAACTCAGCCACATAAAACTCTATACCTAAGAGATATTTCAACATCACAAGTTATAAAAGGTATGAATGAGACGCCCTAAAACTATAACAAAGCATACAAGAAAGCCTTTATGGGTCAACAAACACCCAAAATTTTAAAAGATTGTCCCTCGTGGGAATAGTTTTTCCTTACCATGAGACCAACTCCATTTATACTCTTCAAGAGAACAAAAAAAAAACCTTCAATGGTCGAGATCATTCTAATCAAAAGCTCATTTAAAAAAAAAAAGAACCCTTCTCCACCTAAAATCCCAAACAAGACACCCTTATCCAAATTAATAATCTGTTAGACGAAGGTGACTTATCCAGAGGGGGTGAATAGATCCCCAATAAAAATTGATTTACAAAA